TGGGAGGACACAGTGCACAAGGACACTTCCCAGCTTAACGTCCGGGCAGCAGCAGCAGTAATTGGGACCTTCTGTCTCCTTCCAAAGAGAGAGAAAGGATCGGACTCCTGGGTTTTCATTATTCCACTTTGATGGCTTCTTCTGTTCAGACTATCAATTCTTTGCAGCATACTCTCTCTGAGAAGTCTGTACCGCTGCAAGCACAAAGGGGCCTTGACATTTGCAAGTGTTGTTGCAATAAAAATGAAGTCTGGTAGTCATGGCCATTCTAAGTCTTGACCTTCTGTCCTTCTACTAATCAGAACTGGGTAGCATCCTTCAAATCCTGTTCTGTTGTTCTTCGTAGCACTCCCAGCTGGGGAAGTAAAATGAGTGATCTGGCAGCAGGTTTAAGGCAAAATCAAGGAAGAATTTTTCACTCAACACATTATTAAAAGGGAGAATTCATTGCTATATGATGTGAGCACTAAATAAACAAAAAGGGTTCAGGAAATAGACTAATGGAAAGTAGGTCTATTATCATGGCTAATAGTGCTCTGGATGCAGTTTCTAAACCGCCACTTGAGGGAAACTGAATACAGAGTTCACTCAATACATTTCTCTCTAATAATCTTCTGCTGGACAGTATCACAGACAGGCTGGTAAAGTACACGGATCACTGGTCAGACAAGGAATGGCTGTTCACGTGTTCTTACACTAGCATTTCTGTAATTGATTGATGTCTTTAGCTCCTTGTCAGTGGGGAAAGAAGATGAGGGATGGATTGGCTAGTAAAGTAACCTTTGGTGGAACACAGTTTGAAATTCTTGGATGCCATTACAAATGTCAGTCATTAATGTTATATTAGTCTGGGCACTCCTAGCACACAGAGCAGTTAAGCTGACAGATTCACACTGAACCTAATAATATCTGCAAGGTGAAAGCAAGGAAGCTAAGGTTAGTTTAGCAACCAATCTCACTGTACTAGTAAGTAAAGCTGTTTCCTAGTTATAAGACCTAAAAGTTCCAAACATGGACACATTATATATACTTTTTATCCTAATGTTAAAAAACACACTAACTTGTTTTCTCCTTTGGCTAAATACTCAGAAAAATAATTAATATATATTAATATATTAGTGTTTAGCATGTGGACCACAATACCCTCCTGAGATCTCTGCCAGTACCAGGACTCACTGTATAAACAACATGACACAGATCTTTTCAAGGACAGTACTGTACAACAAAGGTTAAAGCCTAGAAGGCACATAGTGTACAGAAGATGAGAAGACAGAGAAGCAGCCAGACAAAATATTTTTGTGAACTTCATATTTAAACATTCCATTACTCCCACTGGGGCAGCTGTGCACTGTTGCTCCCTGTGAATATTCATGAAGAAATGAATAGTGATATCCAAGAATGGACGCTGATCAGTCCTGTCAAGGTCTGGACAAACATCAATAGCATCTTAGGTAAGTAATATTAAAGGCATGTGCTAAACCTGAGATATTCAGCACAGGTTCTTCTTCCCTCAATGGGAGTTCATCAGTAAGCACAGTCAGATCCCTCCCCACAGAACACGTAATTGTATATGTGAAACCTGTGTATCACTGGAGACCCTACACTGTGTCTTAAATGAGGGTGAAAACTTCAAAACAGGGACATGTTGAAGATTTTTGTCAGCATTAGAAGATGGTTCTCTGTTAGGGAAGCCAAAGGAAAACCAGAAAAAAGAACCCAAAGGAAATCGGCTTCTTGCCTTGTAGATGGAAGGCATTCAGAAATAAACTTCAGACAATGGCTCTAACACCTCCCTAGTGATTTTTACCAGCCAAGTAACAATTTGCAGTCACAGCTCAAAACTGCCTGCAGCTCTAAAATGTCGTTATGGAGCACTGGCTAATACTAAAGCAGAGATGACAACTGCATTTGCCTCTGCAGGACTGAATTCTGCAACAATGGAAGCAAACACTGTGGCCCAGATTCCAGGATCTTATGGACCCCTTTCCATTACAGGGTGTAAAACAATGCAAATTAAACACAATGCTCATAAGCAGGATGTGTTCTAGCAGCTACACCGTAAAAGCTATTTTCAGCTTCAGAGTTTAATTTCAACTATTGTTTCAGCTGCGAGCTTAGGTAGTATATAAGGTAATGGATGGTGGCCTACAAGTTACAGAAACCAAACTGCAATTTCATTTAAAGCTTCTCCGGACAAAGAAAATGAAAGACTGTTCTCCAGACTCTTGTAGCTTAAAATTAATATAGCTGGAGACCAAAAGCTGTAATACCAGTTTCTTCTCTAGAATACAAACCAGAGTGTCCAGATTCTGCCACACTGATGTTAGTCTCTTTAAATGTCTTGAGTTTTCAGTTTCGCTGTTACAAAGTTACCAAAGTAATTTTTTTTTTCTATCTTAAAAGAGATTGTATTGTTGTAATACTACCTAAAGTACTTAGGACAAGTCCTGCATCGGATATAGTACAAGTATCTTTGCACCCTACTAATAACTCTTCATGTTAATTTAGAGGTATCAGCTACGATTTTTCATTCTATGAAAAAAAGTTTTATTTCTTTGTCCTATTCAGCCTACAGTCTTGGTTGTGGGAGAGTCAGCAAAATCTCAGGTTTGTTAGTAGTTCCATTGATACAGTTTTGGGTTTCTGAGTATAACTTGCTCAGGCACGGCCATTGGCCACAACGACAACTCCAGTTCCCAAATCTGTGATTAAAAGTACAAATGAACAGAGGAAACATGCCTTTAATCAGAGCTATTTAGAAGCTGTAACAGTTCCATAAACTTTTCGTGGACTTCTGGTAAAGAGAGAAAATGCAATTAAGGAAAAAGGTACACATACAAGAAGTGAAATGTACCTAATTTGCATATTTTAATCCATAAAGAATTATGATCATGGGAAAAGAATGCTTAATTCTTAACTTATAACCTTTTCACATTCAGCATTGTCTTGGTAATCAGCAGAAGGCAGCCTGATTTCAACAGCAAGCCATAGCAATGATTTTAATAGCAAAGCTGGTAATTGAGTTTCCAAAGATGGGTTGGGAATAGAAAATATAAGTCCTCACCAAAAACTACAGTGTTTTCCTCATTTTATTTTTCAGCTGCAAGCTGCTGAACACTGGGAAAAAAGCTAACTCACTAAAGTTCTAAAAAAAAAAGTATCCTTTTACCATTTTTCATTAACTACATATTGGGCAAAGTATTCACATATGTTACAAACTAAATTATGTTTGATATTAGACATCAGCAGTGAAGTTAGAGTGGATTTTGAATTCATGTTGAATGAAGACATTTTTCAAGGTTAAAGAAATATTCGAAGTCTTTCTTTTCTGTGTCTATAGCTACAAAGTGAAGCTTTTTATGTTTTCTATAAACATGAAGTGGCATCATTCTTATGAACTGTAAATGACAGTTCAGCTCTTTGAAAGAAGTAAAAGTGTCAGGTGCTGCCTCAGCAGTAACAACTGATTGTGTTTGCAAGAGCCAACTGTAGACTTCAACATTCTCCATGTATAGAGAACGGATATCACACTGGGTTTTGACACTGGTCCTATAGTTTGACATACAATCAACAAATGGTTAATGGGGTGGGTGATTAGCGTTCCCATGACAGAACTAGCCCTTGAGCTCTTGCTCAGTAGTGCTCAGAACCAAGTTAAAAATCTTTACAACTAAAGAATAGTAGCATCAGCTTTAACATGCTTAGATTCAGTATCCATAAAACAGAAAAAACCCAAAACAAAAAAAACTCAGAAAAACTACACAGCTGCATTCACCTTCAGAAATGAGAAGTAGATAAGACCAAGAATGTTTCTTTTAAAAGCAGCAAAAAGGAACATGTAAGAGAGTTAAATCCTTTCAAGCACTGTGCTGTCTACTTAAAGGTGCCCTACTAGAGGCATATGGTGAAAGCATAGTACCTGTTATGAAGTCTTAAGAAGAAGCAAACTTATTCCAACATGGCTAAGGAGCAAGATGACACCCATAGTTAGTAAATTCAGAAAACTAAAATGTTATCCAAAACAAAACAAACAAAAAAATATTCATTAACTTGTATCAGTTAACTTTAAAAATACCATGTAAAACAAGCACGCTGCAGACATAAACTTTGGAAACAACTTTCAAAAAACTGAAAAAACTTGGAGTAAAATAGCTACACGCTGTTGCGTAGCCTCTTGCTTAATATGATCTTGGTACCTAAGAATGGGAAGGTGACATGTTTGATGGTAATTCTTAACTAGTATTCCAGTGGAGAATTGGAGAACTTGAGATCAGTAAAGGACAAGTTGATGGGTTCTATAATGGAGAATAGAACTGATAAACACATGGATAAATCTAACATCCTGGGGAAACAGGATGGCTTTGGTAAAGGAAGTCACGGCTCACAACCATGCTGGAGTTCTCTGAAGAAATCAATAAGCATGTGGGTATAAGAAATCTGACTGAAGTCTGTTTGGATTTCCAAAAGACTTTCAGCAAGTTCCTGCACCAAAGACTCTTAAGGAAAATAAGTAGCCATCACACAAGAAGATGCTTTTTTGAGAAATAAAAGGTTTGGAGGATAGGAAACAGAGGTATGAGTAAATATGAAGTCTTCATTACAAATGAAGATCACTTGCCAAGCTATAAAGAGATCTATGCTGGTCAATACATTAATAAATTACCCAGAAAAGTAAAATAAATAATTTACAAAGTTTGTTGATTAAATTAGTCAAGTACTGAAGAGGACTTGCAGAAGGACTTCATCATTTTCATGTATTAGAGAAACAGAACATGGTAAGTAATCTCATGTATGTAAATGTAAAGTGCCATAAGTGGAAAAAAAGATTAATTCCAACTTCACATACAAAATTATGTGACCTGAATACCTATTGCCATCCAGGAAAAATCTTGGAATCTGCCAATACTTCTGAGAGTATGTCTTTTTAAAATTCTGTAGTGGCTAAAGAGCAGTTCATATACAAAGAATTATTAGAAAAGGAATAAAGAACAAAACAGAAAGTACCTTTACACTATTATACAAATTGATGATGTGGTTCTGGTTTCCTCACCTCAAAAAGGATATACTAGCAATGTTTT